TCAAGTCCATCTGGCCCCTTAACTTTCCAAAATCAACATTCTAGTCCCCCTTTTGCTGTTTCCCCAACATTAATCTATTTAATCTTTAAACTTACATAAAACTTCTTTCATCCAGGATAGAAGGAAGGAAGCTTTCTTAACATTCAAAAGGTTGATAATAAGGAATTTCCTAAAGTAGTTAAGAGGGGAAGTGGGCGAACCTATTGTCTATTTGAAAGCACTAAACCATAGCTTAGGCAAGATGGTTTTCCCCTGGCTCCCAAAGCAATCAAACCTAGCAGAGATTGCTATTTTGCGGTCTCTTCACGGGTGAGCCTCTGTAAGGAGCAAACTTGTGGGTGATCCTAATCTTCTCCTCGATCCGGAGAGGGGTTCTGAGGAGCAGATCCTTTCACTGGCTCCTCTTTCCGCCATAGCTGTCAGCATTGTTCACGTGGAGCTGTCCTCAATCTGCCATTGCTTCCCTGGAAGTCATGAAGCACCTTTTTTTTAATTGTTAAAGCAGCTGGACTTTTAAATAATGTATTTCAAAGGCTATGCACAAATCTACCAAATAAATAATTACTGTTAGTATTTCTTGAGCACTCATTCATTTAATTAGCAGACATTTATATGTGCCATTCAGATCCATAAGGCCCCGGGGGAACCATCTTAATTGGTCTTTCTGCCCTGCAGAGGTCACAGAGTGTGATGATCCTTTTCTGAATCAGGAAGTGATCTGACTATGGCAGAGGACTAATATGCAGGTCCTCCATCTTCAGATAACAACTAGCTGATTTGAAATGAATAGGATAAGTATGAGTTTGGCCTTGTGAGGTTGTCATGGAGGCCATGAATTCCATGAACCTTCCCTCACAAACCAGCACACAAAGGTTGAAAGGCAGGTGACATACAAGCAGGATCCCCAATTTGTTCATATAGTCCAGCTTCAAATACATGTACTTGTTACCTGGTCACAACCAGTTATCTTGAACATTATCACTCCCCCTCTTCCCTGTTTTGAATAATGGCTGCTGATGGATCCCAAACCCCAAAAGCAAATCTTAGAGTCACCTCTCTCTCTTGCCCAACCAGGTTTTACTGCAATTTATGTAGACATGGATTGGCTATTTCAGAATGTTGCTGAGTATTCTATTCCTATGACATCACTTGTTGCCAATATCACAGCTAGAACTTGCTTTGGCCCATTTAGGCCAATCTGTGACTGTTAATTGCTCCTTGTCAATGTTGAATCGTAATCAGCTGGTGCAGGCAGCACAACTAGCAGAACAATGTGGCAGATACAAGGACATGGTCAGTGCTATGAAGCAGCTTGTGATGGAAGAAAAAAAAACCTTAACCCACAAGGAAAAGACTCTGCTTTCTGAGGCCTATAAGTTTCTAATACAGGAGTGTTGCTGTTCTTGGCGAAAGCTGAAGCATTCAGTGGAGCAGGGAGTTGGAAAGCAGAAGGAACAAGCCCAAGTGTATCGTGACTCTATAAAGGAGGAGTTGGAAGCACAGTGCTGGGAGATTCTTAGCCTATTAGATCATGTACTACTAAAGCATTGTGACGAGGCAGATTATGAAAGCCAAGCCTTTTATCTGAAGATGAAAGGGGACAACTATCGTTACTTAGCCGAAGTGGCCCTTCCTGCTGTTAAGGATACACTAGTAAAATCTGCAGAGAAAGCCTACACAGAAGCTCAGGAGATTACTCAGTGGCACATGGAACCTACTCATCCTTTAGCTTTGGCTGTTGCTCTGAATTTTGCAATACTTTATTATGAAGTTCTCAATAACCCACAGCAGGCAACAAAACTAGCTAAATCTGCCTTTGACAAGGCCATTGATGTCTTGGAGACTCTCAGTCTGGAGTTCTATAAGGAATCCACAGTGATATTGCAACACCTGAGAGACAACATTGTGCAGTGGACTGGTGTTCAACAACAGGAGGGCGAAAGAGAAGAGAGCTAATTCCAAAACTGGCTCTTAAACATGGGATCTAGTGATAAATTCCATTTGCACTGTTACAACATTTACTCAGGTACCAAATCTATTCCATTAGTGACCAATACAGGTGCAAGTGTCTTGAGTTCTTAACATCCTTGTAGAAATAAAAATCTGTTCCTGATTCTCTCTCTTTCTTAAGTTTAAATCTTACAGAAAATTATGGCATTCTAGAGAATATTAAGAAATAAATGTTACTACAGGTAGTCCTCGTTTAGCAGCCACAATTGGGACCGACAACTTGGTTGTTAAGCAAAGTGGTCACTAAGTGAAACTGCAACTGTGCTTTTGATCTTACTTTAGCTTTCCTTTGCTTTACAGACCTGCAAATGTCATAAATGCAAGGATTGGTCATAAAGTTCATCACCGCCGTAACTGTGAACAGTCACTGTACAAGGCAGTCACTAAGTGAGGACTACCTGTAATCAACTTCCTTCAGTATCTATTTCTTCCCTCACAATAAACTACTTCAGCTAAATACTAGTCACTAGAAGGAAGTAGTAAAAATAGCTTTTTAACATATTTTCTGTTATGCATCAACAGTCAAGAGTATTCAATCACTGGTATACATAGGTAGTCCTCCACTTACGACCACAACTGGGATCAGAATTTCTGTTGCTAAGCAATGTGGTTATAAAGTGCAACATCATGTGACTGCATCACTTGGCGATGGCAAACCCAGGCAGCCCTGATTGCTGTTGTGATCCCAAGACACATGGATTTTTAAGCAGGAAGAGGCAGGAGTCCCAGGTAAGGAGTATGGGGGTGCTGTGGGATGGGTGGGGGAGGCTTAGGAGGGCCAGCACAGACTGCACGTGAGTTGTAGGAGGTGGGTGCTGCAGCATGGTGCAAGCTTAGGAAGGCTGGGGAAAGAATATGCTGCAGCTCGGGCTTCTTGGTATGCTGCAGCTTTGGAGCTGAAGTGCCCCAGCCCAGCCCAGCAGCATGGTACAAAGCCACCACACCCCGGGAAGCCCCAGCTGCCCCAGTCCCAGCCCAGTCCCAGCCACCCTCGCCACCCTGCACTCCCTGCCCTGTACTCCTTGTACTCTGTGCCCACCCTGGCCCTTCATGAGACAGCTGCTGGCCATGTGAGGCCATCTTCCCCAGGTTTCGCGAGGAAACTGCCATGCGCTACCTTGGGAGGAAAGCCTCATGTGGTCAGCAGCTTCCTCATGAAGGGCCAGGCCTGGTATGCTTGGTCAGCAGTGGGAGCAAGAAGACAGTGAAGGTCAACTAAGGTGGCAGGGGCCGCGGAATGCAGGAGGCCAAAAGGGCATAGATGGTGGGGGGAGATAGATGGGGGGAGTTGAAGTGCCCCTACGGTTGTAAGTGCAGGTGGGCTGCTGAGCACCCAAAATCTTATCGTGATCGCGGGGGAACTGCCACCGTCGTAACTTCAGGGACCAGTTGTAAGTCCCTTTGTTTAACGCTGTCACAGCTTCAAATGGTCGCTGAATGAATGGTTGTAAGTCGAGGACTACCTGTAGTACATTTTATTTTACCTTATGTAGATAAATACTAGTTAGCCAAAATACTTTTAAAAGCTAAGCATTTGATTAGTTTCATAGAATTTGGAAAAAGAAATCCGGTGATATTAGTTCTTAACAGAGTGAATGATTTAATTGTCTATAATTCCCATTATACTGTTCAAATATAAATCATCAGGTTGCTAAACATGTATTTAAAAATTAAGCAGGTACCAATCACTACTGATTCTTTCACATATATGCACACACACATATACACACATACATACTTTTAATTTTGAAATAGATAAACCTGAAAATTGCTATTTAATTATATTTCTAGTGCTTCATTTAGAAAGGTGTGTTTTCGCCAACCATCTATTATAAATGCTGGTGAATACACATAAGTTTGGAGTTGAATGCAGAGTAACACAATCAAAAGTAAATTCAGTAAGAAAACTAACAAGCCATTTTTCTAGAATTAAGTGTAATAAATGTTCCAGTCTAAAAGAGAACTAAGCTAGTAGCAAACACATCATTTAGTTAATGTGAAAACTGATACTGAAGCAGATTGAACATGGTTATTTTGACAAATTGCACATGTAAAAAAAGTTGTGGTCTCAATTATCTTATTAAGCCTTCTGTTCTATATTACAAATATTTATTTCGGGAAGGAGACGGTATTTCCCAAGGAACAGGAATGCACTTGCAGAGGCTACTGCATTCTAATCATGTGCAAATATTCCAAGTTGTCTAAAGTCAGTGCACTGGATATTGATAAAGCATATATGCTCTATAGCCATGGCCCCCAATATGGCACCTGGTGATAGTGAATCCCCAACATATTCCTTGGGGGCCATTAAGCTCCCTGCTGTATCTAATTTAATGTTTCATGATTCTTTTACTAAGACAAAGAAAAACTGAATAAAGTTATAAGGAAAACACGCCCAAAAGTACAGTGGAGAAGCTGACCTCCAAAGGAAAAAGCAGTATAGAAGCTACTCTTATCACTACTCAAAGCTGTATCCTGACCACCCCAATTCTTTGTAACAGATATATGTGCATTATGATCAAGCGCCCATCTGCAATTGAGTTTTTAAGTAAGAAAATCTTGGGTTTCAAATTTTACATTTTTTTGTGCCTTGATTTGATGGCAAATACTTGGCTTCAATTTTCTCTCTTCTGTCAGAATAAGATATGCATCAACTGTGTCGGGAATGCCCAGCAGAGACAATAATACATGCAGCTATAATCATTATCTCCAAAATGAGTTATGTCAGTATTGTTACATTTTCATCAGGTGGTGATCACAATCAGAACTGTCCTGGAGCTTACAACACACCAGATAGGGCACATAAGATAGTCAAGTGTAGTCTGTGTCTGGCCATAACAGCTTCAAATCGATAATTCATTCACAGAAATAAATGATTTAACTCTTACTCCTTTATGAAAAGAGGCCAGTGTGCCAGTTCTTCAGAAAGGATTATCAAAAGAAATTCTTCAAGGAGCCTATATTGTCTCTTTCACTGGTCAAAGTTATTTAGTAAAGAGCTCCAATTTTTGGTCTCACTAACCTGGAACACACAGAACAGAAGTTGATGGATCACATGCAACTGTAAGGTTGCATATTTTGCAATCAGGCCATCATCCAGGTTGACTGCATTATGTACAACAGTGGGGTAGGTCAGTGACAGTCCTGGTACATTAATGGCTTACTATTATATCACAGTTTCTCTTTATTTCTTCTTGGTAGACACCCAGTATTTCTTTTATCTCACTCAAATTCAAAATTCTGTCTTTTTGATAAATGCTGCTATATTTACAAGGAGGATTCTGTACAATAGTAGTGACTCAGAAATATCCTTTATTAAGTTGACCAGGTCAACCATGGAACCAGTGGACAGTCCTCAAAAAAGTCAAGGTCCATCCTTTTACAAATGTGTTTGCTAATGCTTATTTTCTCAAAGATTCAATCTACTGATTTATCAAGTTGGGAAGTCTAGCTGCAATATAATATGTGAGACTCATATGATGGTCCAGCCAACAGAAATACCGATTTCAATACCTTGAAACAATTAGTGGTTAGAAAATATCCAAGACCAATCACTTTGGGACTTGAATGTAACTGTGGAGAACTTCCAAAAAGGCAAGAATGGAAGCCAGTTTTAAAGGGCCATGAAAGCAAGAGGTTCTTCTCTTGCATAGAGCAGAGAAGCTGCTAGGGATTGGCTTGCTCATATTCACTGTAAGAGATGACATTTCTAACATTTCCACTGGGGTTCCACAGGAATACAATTAGTAAGGCAGAACTGACAAAAATACTTTCTTGATTATACTACCTTCCCAGATAAGAACATACTGTCCTAATAAAAGCTATGTTTTGCTCCAAATGTTTCTATAAATGTCTATTTATCAGCCATATTGCTACAGTGCCAGACTGTAGCTTTACACTAAAATTGTATTAATGCAAAGCAGGAAGGGTTATGTTTCAGCAAGCAAAGATATATTTGAGACTGATAAAAGCAACATTGCAGATATTATTTATAATGTGCCCAAGGCCAAAGTTCTTCTCAAGCATTATTTCGAAGAGTTGCTGATTTGTTTGGGATTTGCTTTGTCTTTCTTTTTCCTCCAAAATATAGCTCTGACTATTCATTGAAAGAGAGCTGTATAAGAGATTCACATGAAAGGGTAGATGTCATTTCACCGTTACAGTGGGGCACCACCGAGTTTCAGGGTAGAGGAGGCAGTGAACAGATTTGAACCTGCAAAGAGTAAGATAAGAAGTTATAGTCTAATCCTGCAAATATATAAATGGATCATAATCAGGCAATTTTCAGTTCTCATGTTTGAATTTCTTGGCCAAACAAGTAGGATAGGGGATTTCATTTAGGAAATAATGTACACACCGAGTTGGATCTTGTTGTACAGTGAATACTTCACCCACACTCACAACATTGCGTTTATTCTCTGGGCCACCATAACTCAAGGTAACCTGGAAAAAAAAACACACAGCCCAAATACTCAAAACTGCACTTGTTAGAATAGGATAACTAACTAACTAATTAACTAACTAAAAGAATTAAGTTTTGGAGCACATTCAAGTCCTAAAATTGGTTTCCACAGTTCGTATGATTAGCTACCAAGGACTGGAAATATATTACAGTCTCTCTAGGATTAGGGCCAATTTATTATTATTATTATTTTTTTTTTAATTATTATTTATTTGATTTGTCCCTGCCCATCTCCCCACAACGGGGGACTCTGGGCGGCTTACAACAAAGTAAAATCAGAAATACAATTAAAAGTTATAAAAACCAAACATTTTAAGTATCTTAGTTGGTGAAGGGAGAATGAATAGAATCCCACAACTGCTGCCACCATGCTTATCGAGGGATCTCACTCCAATCCTTAATCTGTTACAGGAAAAAAAAAATCTTTTTATCTCCTTACCATACTGGTTGTAGCCATCTTTTTCCTTAGGAAAAGAAATCAAAGATTTGCTTTTTTTACCTTTGAGTGTATGTTACTGGATGTGGAAGTAAGGCCAACACAATCATAAACTGTTTTTAAATTACAGGTTGTCCTCGTTTAGCAACCACAATTGGGACTAGTAACCTGGTCAATAAGTGAAGCAGATGCTAAGTGAAACCATGACTGTCTTACATCTTACTTCAGCTTTCCTTTGCTTTACAGACCTGTGAAGGTCATAAATGTGAGGACTGGTTGTAAAGTTATTTTTTATCACCATTGTAACTGCAAATGGTCACTACACAAGGCAGTCACTAAATGGGGACTACCTGTATTCATAAAGTTGATGAAACTTCCCTGAAATCCCAGAAGTATAACATTTACCTACTTTCCATATTTTTCTTTTGCTTTAAGTATCCCTACGTCCTACTTACTCTTTCACTTCAGTTCCGTTTTCCACACATAGTAACCATTTTTAAACAAGTATTCAAATTCCACCCTGAAGTTTAATCCAATTGTTTTATGCATAACTTCAAGACCCAACCTTCCCCCCCAAAATACTTTAAGAGCAACTAACACTTATTATTTATGTTTACTTAAAAAATGCCCCTAGTTCCTTCTCCTTGTTTTCCCATCACCATGAAAGAATTTCACAAAAGGCTTCTGTATTTTATTTGTACTACATCAATACTGTCACAGATAACAAACCTGCAGCATAGACTCAATTAGAAACTCCCATGAAACCATGAAGCAAAGACAAGGGCGGTGGTGGGTAGGAAGTATCTGCTTAGTTCAGATAAGAGTTGCCCTTACTTGTCTGAGTACAGCTCCACCACGCAGCCGCTGTAAGTTTTCCAGATGAGAGTGAAATAAGGGGCTGTGCAACAGTTTCACTTCCAAGAGCCCCTCGATGATGTAGCCAATGGTGCAGTCGTCAGGGAGGCGAATTCTCTCTGCAGTGCTGATGAAGCTCCCAAGGCTACCAAAAGCAAAAATCAAGGAATGAATCTCTCTCCAGTTCTCTTCAGGTTGAGGGGTGGGGGCAAATATTCTGAACTGCACACACCTAGCCCATGGACTCATCTTGAGGGCCAGGCCTCTGCTGATACAAAATCCAGCACCACCAGTGGCAAACCAGAATTTTGTAGTGGTCTAGCAAAATAAACAGAGACTTGTTAGAACGACTTTTCTGATCAGCCAGACATGTTCAATTCTATTTGTCTATTAGAAAACCTCAGAAAATGGTTGGAGCTTCAAGAAACCAATCTTGAACCAAATTTGAATTTGAAGAAATACACCAGCTGTGGTCTTCCTTTATGTATTACTAATTCTTCATGTAGTTGCAATGAAATGGGTTCAGTCAGACTTATTTGGAACAAACATGTATAGGATTGTAATCATAATAATTTATTCCGTGGCTATACGACAGAATAATCAGCAGAGTTAATTCTGTCTGCAGAACCACAGAGAAACAGTCGATAATAAGTAAAGGAATGTAATCACAGCCTTACCTACAAATTCAAAGTGGAAATTTGAAATTTGTTTTAAAATGTGAAAATCTACACATTTATTTCTTATTTCACATTAAGAAGCTTAAATCTTTTCATTTCTTTTCAAAAACAACTTTTCTTGTGTTCTGAAGTGTTATATATTTACAAATACATGTTGCTTATAAGTTACATAATTGCCTAATTATTAAGAAGGATTTAATTGGTTTCATAGTATGCTCTTTAGTGTAGGACACAAATAGAAAAGATTACGAGACTTGTCCAGACATGACAGCATCACCTGAATTCTTTCCCTATAATAACAGCAAAATATGATTTGATACATTAATTTTCTACGCCTATAAAGTGGGCTCTGTTTTTCTAAGGCAAACTTATAAATAAAGCTCTCAATTTTATTAGCCTACTACGACTGGCAGTGAGGGATGGAGAAGAAGGTGTCTAATCTAAGCCAAAAACACTGAACTGCCTTCTAGCAATTTTTCTGGTGTTTTCTACTGGATACCATTCTTCCTCCACCAGTTTATTCATTCTGGCCTGCAGGACGTACAGGTAGTCCTTGCTTAACAACCCTAAATTGGACAGACAACTCCGCCACTAAGTGAAGTGGTCATTAAGTGGAAAATCACATGACCACGGCTGTGCTTTCCGGCTGAAAAGGGACAAGACTAATCGGTTTCACACCTTCGGCTTTTGTTTCCTTCCTAACCACTCCCCTGCCCTTTGGAACGCTTGAGTGCCTGCTTACTATCTTGTATGCATCAAAGGCAATGTGATTGTGCTGGCAGCCCAGGCTTGGGAGCCGCGGGTGCGCTACGCAAACAGCTTACAGTACTCTCTTGAAATCCCTTCTTCAATCTCCTCCACTATGTGGTGGGGGGGAAGCAAGCAATTTTTGTAGGCAATCTCTCCTTTGCCAGACCCCTCCCCCCAGCACAGAGTGGAGAGATTGGAGAGGGATTTCAAGAGAGCAAGCTGTTGGCTCTTCTACAGATCGAAAGCAATGAGATAACACCAGCAGCCCAGGGCTGGGAAATGTGGGTGCGCTACCCAAGCAGCTTACAGTACTTTCTTGAAATCTCTTCTTCTCCAATCTTTCTGGTCTGCTGGGGTGGGGGGAGAGAAAAAGCAAGCAATTTCTGTAGGCAATCTCTCCTTTGACCCTTTCCCCTTGCCGGTGCAACTGCATTGGTCGATGTGCAGAAGACCAAACAGCTTGCTCTCTTGAAATCCCTTCTCCAATGTCCCCACTCTGCAGGGGGTGGGGAGAAAAAAAAGAAGTGATTTCTGTAGGTAATCTCTCCTTTGCCAGATCCTTCCCCACCCTGCCTCACAAAGCAGAGAGATTGGAGAAGGGATTTCAAGAGAGTACTGTCAGCTGTTTGCATAGCATATCTGCAGCTCCCAGCCCCGGGGCTGCTGGCGCAATCACATTGCTTTTGATGTGTAGAAAAGCAAACAGCTTACTCTCTTGAAATCCCTTTCTCTCCAATCTCTCTGCTCTGCAAGGGGGGCAAAAAAAGAAAAACCACAGGTCAAGCACAGGACAATGAGTGCTGACTGTAATGGCGATCATGTGACTGAGGGACGCCACAAAGGTCGTAAATTGGCCATAAAGTTATTTTTCAGCACTGTCATAAGTCTGAACGGTCATGAACAAGTGGTCAGTAAGCCAGGACTACCTGTAATCAGCTTCTGAATGACATATTGAGAGCTGCAGTCCCAAAGTGGAAAGGGCCAGGACCTGTTTGGGGAGGGAATTTCAGGGGTTTTAAGGGGTAAAATGAGTGCCATAAGCACTCTTTAAAAACCCTCCACCCCACCCCCCAAATAATGCAAAATAGCATCTGCAGAAATCAACTTTGAGCCATGCCTCTTAGGGAAGTGTTGCCTGGTCCCATGCTGGTGGGCTGGAAAAATAAAATAGGGTGAGGAATTCCAGATGAAAGTAAACATGCAGAGGCTGTACAAAAATCTGATTTGTTCAATTTGTAAAAACAAACAGTGAAAGAATGTGCTCACTGATCCGTCATTCCGGATATGGTCAGCTGCTTCAATTGGATGGTCCAGACTTGGTCTTCCTATATATATATCTTGGCTGTGTGAAAAAGCAGACAAAAGACTCAGGAGGCTCTGCAGATTCACATAGTTGTCATCATCTACATGACAAAACCACCTGCAGAAAATGCAGAAAAGGAAGTTACAACGGAGGTCATAACAAAGATATAACAAAGTTCTCTTTTGGGAGGATTTCATCTTTCAGAATTATTTGTGACAATGCAAATTACATAATTAGAATGCTGGGTGGGTGGGGAGAGAACAAATGGAGAAAATCTTTTCAACTACATAAAATTAGATCAAACCCAGCATTCTCCTTTGCTATCTACTGATCAAAAGAGCAGCAGATACTAATTTATGAAGCCAAAAGAGCACTGAAAGTACTAATGAAACAGTGACTTTCACTTACTTTTGCCCAGACTCTAGAAACTTATCATATTCCACTGACATCTTGCAGCAAAGAGCTTGGCGGGTGTGAACAGCTGAGCAGTTGGTATTAATTATGTGATCTCCTGTAAAATAAAAATGATTGCAACTGGAGAAGGTATGTAGTTTCTAATAGCAAGTATATGAAGAAGAGCCTGGAGGATTACATAAGCATCCAATACTAGCTGCGGAGGATCTAGATCATCTTGCCTAAGCTGCAGCTGGCATCTTTAAAAGACACTGAGTTTGCCCACTTCCTCTCTTAATCACCTTAGGAAATTGCTTGTTACTGATCTTTTGGATGTTAAGAACCTTCAGAAGGACAAGTTTCATTATGCCGGGAGAGTTTCCTTCTATCCTTGATGAAAGAAGTTTCATGTAAGTTTAAGGATTGGCAAGCATGATAGTCTTAATAGGAAATAATGAATATATGTTTTCCCTATGCTTCTGAAAATTTCACCAGGAATGTAAGAAAATTATTGTACTTTTTAATGGTCTTATAGTATTTCTTGCAATTCCATTATTCTACAACTATAAAGCTGCAACATATCTTACACTAAATTTATCTCATTCATATCCACAAGCACTGCATATTGTTACTCCTTTCTGAACATTAAAAGATTGAAGGAACTTGAAAGTATTAGCATCAAGGCCTTCACAAAATTCCCAATGGAGGGGAATAGGCAGCATTTCAAAAAGAAAATACACTTTTTGTACCCACAAATGGAAATAACTGAATATAACATCACAAGCAGCAAGTGCCCTATGGACAGCACCTATTTTCAACCCCTTGCTTTTCTGTACAGGAACTCTGATTCCTGCACCCCCTCAAGACAATGACTGAACTGGGGATCTTCTGTTTGCAAAGCATACAGCAGTTTGTAACAGTGATTTGTATCTTTCCCTAAAAATAAACCTGAAAACTGAAAAGCAATTTACCTGCTCTAAGATGCAACTCACGATCTTCCCAGTCTGTGAATATAAATGTCTATAGGATACAAATCAAGAATTAGTTAACCTCCTGAAGATTTCAAAGTAATGTTATTGTTAGTTTCAGTCAGTATGTTGTATTGGTTTCCAACAGCCTCAAGCAAAAGAAGGACAGGTTTCAACAATGTTAACCTAAATTATTTGATAGAAAGAAAACCAAATATATTGTCTAATATTGCACAAAAAGCAATCATGTACTTCTTATTTTTAACTCAACAAAAATCCCAACAAAACAAAGGTAAAAGGTTTCATACTCTCAATTGAATTATTGTATAACTAACATAAATTCTCCACATGAGAATCCTAGCCAATCATAATCTACCTTCACACAGAACTCTACATGTCAGAATCAGCATGCATGCAGAATTGATCTGATGCATGGTGAATCTGCAGACTTGTTTCATTAGGAGCAAGGGATGGGACTAATTTGAATAGCCCCCGATTCCTGCAATGCATTCTTTGGCCATGCCATGAAGCTCCCTGAATTTCCCTGCTATGGAGAGCTTCTAGAACTCTAGTGTCATTGGGGAAAGGAGGAGGAGAAGTACAAGTGATGGTAAATTATCACTTTTACATGTAACTGGATGAGAGATTTAACTTCAATTATTGTAATATCACACAAAAAGATAATATGCAAATGAGTTGTGCTTCCCATGTCCCCTAAATAACATCCAAAACTGTGAAGGTAAAAGGACATTATGTTCAACCTCTGAAAGATGCTTTAACATGCACATATATATAAAACTGTTAATAAATAATAAATAAAATGTAACTGACAAAATAATGTAACTATTAAATAAATAGTGTGCTTACCTGTCCTTTGGCCTGAGATATCCATGTTTGGAACAGCAAGTTTAGCCTTGTTTTATGATATTTCCTTGTGGTTTTCACAGCAATAAAAATATCCTTCAATTCCAACTTCTCCTTAGTGGAGACTTCAGCAGTTTCCGTATGTATCACACTGTGTGGCCTTTCATTTATCTTTCCATTAGTTTTCAGATGGGATCCACTAGTGTCTATGACATAATGACTCCATTTTTCTAATAGGTTCTGTTTTATCAAGGGCACTATATTGTTAATCTCAGCATCCAAAGGATCAGGGGAATTGAACTCCACCTGCTGTAGTGGGATATCATTCTTGTTGGAACTATTAAAAACAAGTGATAGGCGTGGCTGAGGATAGATTCTAAATCTCCAGCTGGATTGGAATTTGGGAATTAGCAAAAGGAGAACTGTACAAGTGATAACTGAGAGCAGGAAGCATATCTTACTGAGCCTAATGCAAGAAAAGCTCATTCTTCAGCCCCTAAGGGCCTTTGCCATCTTGTAAAACTGGGATATCACTTTCCAGTGATGATGATTGAATTCCAATGAAGCCCAATTGTGTAAAAATTACTGAACTTGTGGGACTTTTTTTAGCCATACAGCATCATCTTTGTGGCACTCAATCATTATAGAGGTTGATTTCTTTCTATTTCTGCATTTGGATTTGTCATCCTAAAATACAGGATTTGTCATCTATTATATGACAGAAAAAAAAAATCTGAAACCTGAATGTTTTAAGTAGCCATGAGATAAGAGTCAAAATGGCTTAAAATCACCAACAAAATTGTTACTGTGGACTTACATTATGTGTATATATGAAACTGCTTTATACAGAACCATAATTGATCTCCCTGGTCCAGTATTATTGTGATAGCTCCCAAGTCTTTCCAGTTACCTGCTGATGCTTTGGTTAGAGCTTTAGTGTAGGGGATGCTGCTGAAGATCTGCTATTATAAAAGAAACATTAGACATTAGGTAAAAAACTGAATATATTTTAGAGCTTTATGTACATTATTAATGGGAATGGCCTTAAATAATGTTTAGGAAACCTGCTGAAAGAAAGGGAAATATAATTGAGGGAGAATCTTCTTATCCAAATCCAAGTTATTCAAGATTATTACTTTTATGCTGAAAGTTTCTGTTACTTGTTCTATCAGTTTAAGCCTACTTAAAAATAGTGATCTACAATACCTAATTATTGTATATAACCTATATATACAATCTACAGTATACTTAATGTAGTAGAAACTCCCTCCCCCAAAGTATGGAGATAAACTTAACTGCATTTTTTTCATATGATTCAGCTTCTTTTTTTGGGAATAAGTGAAAAGAAATTAATTGAAGTTAGATGGTTTATTCAAAAGAAGGGAAAAGACTCACAGTCTTCCTGTCTAGGAACATGCACCCTCAGTGATACACTGTTAGGGCCACATATCAATAGTGGGTGTTACTGAATTAAGTAATGGATAAGATCATATATTACCTGTTTTCCTAATGCCTCATTTTTCTCCTTGATGCTCCCCCTTTTCTCTGACACCTTTTTCTCTCTCTCTCATTCAGCAGCCTTCCAGAAAATCCAGATCATCCTTGCATAATCATCTGAATTAAGTGTCTGCAGAGGGCTTTTGAAATAAGGCCAAGGAGTGCATGAAATTAAGGCAAGAACCACATTGGCCACCACCCCTGCTTTATACTATAGGGGCTGTGAAATACATTGTATGCAGTCCATTCTGCACAGAATCAGATGCACTTTAATTAATTGATTTCAGTGTGCTTAGGAAACCCTAATACCGTAGAACAAAACAAGTCAGATTTACAGATTTGTTTTTTAAGTGCACTGATGCCATGATAAAGAAATCTTTTGCGCTTCCCAAAAAGTATGTCAGTACGAGATCAATTAATATATTACTCCAGTAAACAAAAAACAAAGTACTGCATATATTTTAAGCAGTATTTATATTTTTTTCAGAAAACAACAACAACTGTTTTCCCCAAGGAGGATATTATTGCTACAGGTTGCTGCGTGGTATAATCCTTGGACCATTCACTCAAAAATAAAATTCAGTGAGCAGGAATTTATTCTTAAGTAAACTTAGGTAGGACTACGGCCTCATGATCATCTTGAGGTCAACTGTAATTTCAAGCAGAGAGTTTAAAACTAACACATTTGGAAACAACCCCTAGGGTCGTCCTGGCTTTTTCTTCGGGACAACTTCCCCAAAGGCAGACCTCTCTGGGGACCAGGCGTCCCAAACCGGTTGCCATAGAAGCGCCTCCGCTCCTCACCATGGCAACAAGCACACACACCTTGACCCCCCCTTCCCCCCGTGAAAACACTATGGGAATTCGGCCCCTCCCGCTACCCGCCAAGGCGAGTGTTTCTGGTCTCCTACCGGCAGCAGCGGCTCCGCTCCTACTCGCGGCGGAAGAAGCCGCGGCGGAAGAAGCCGGGGCGGGCGCTTGGCTCTCGCTGCGCTCGCTGGGCCAGGCTTCGAGCCCGCTCTGGGCCAAATCAAGCGGACACCGGGGGAAGGGGTGATCGGGGAGGAGATTGAAGGAGTACGGTCCCTTTAAGGGCTTTACCTGTCGCCGGCTTGACCCGGTTGCGTAGAGTGATCCGGACGTGGAAGTGGGAGGGGAGGACGTGACCCGGAGGTGCATGGTGCGAGGGTCAATATGCCGCTACCCGTCCAAGTCTTCAATTTACAGGTATCGAGGAAGTTTTGAGGGGTCGGTTGGGGGTTTCGTCGCAGGGCGTGTCTTGTGGTGGCTCGTTGGGTAATTAACGCGGTGGCGGGAAGGAGCCTGTTTGGTGACCACCGCTGAGCAGCTCCGCCGGCTGATCAGCCCATGTGTTATTCTCGGAAGCTCCCCGGACTGCCTCCCTGAGGAGGGGGAGGCGGCGGAGGCACGCGGGAGACACGGGCGGCCTCGAGCGAAGACTCAGTTCCGTTACCCAGGGAGCGAGTCGTTGGCCGCGACTACCGCCAGATGGAGAGGCCCCGCCGCCTGGTGCGCTTGGTTCTGCGTCTCTTCTCCGCACACACCCTTTACACCTCCACCTCCCTCCCCTCCCCTCCCCGCTCTTCTTTTGGTTCTGTAGAAGCTGTAGGGGTGACCTCTGAGGGCTGCTGGCTAGCCGAAGGAGTCAGTCCGGGGTTCTTCACTCCACGTACGGACGGAGAATATTTGGGAATTCCCAAAACACAGTAGATATGCTTAGTTTGAATGTTTTAGAAGGTCTTCTAGGGTCGACTTCGGCTTTTCTTTTTTTCCTGGGAGTTGTGGGGTGACACTACAGCATAAAGCGGGAAAGTAGATATAGATAACTCTCGTCACCAGCTGTCCATGCCCACCTTGACCTTCAGTAAGGATGACTGAAAGAGAATTATAGCACTGTTTGCATAACGAAGAGTTGTTTTATCTCCTAGTTATGAAATGCAGTGCCCCAGCAAGTGCTGCCACTCAAAAGTCAGAATAAACTGGTTGGTTTTTGTGTCCTTCTGTAAGTGTGCATTTGCTTCCAAACATGAAAATCAACCAAAGCAATGTCTGAAATGTAATGAGAAATTTAATTACTGTGAGCAGACATTTTGGCAATGCAATCCTATCTCCCATCTCAGAAACATTACAGTTGTTGATGCATTAAGAATAGTAGAATGGCAGGACAAAAATAAGGGCGGAGAAACTTTTGCATCTTTCTGTCTCCTTCCTGATTACAGTCTCCTGTCCCAAAAGTTCACTTTTGTTTCTCAAAGGCATTTTGGTCTTTCTTTTGTTGATTTTAACTGATGCCTGAAACCAACAGCCTTGAAAGATGACAACAGACAGAGGGAGGAATTCTGATGTTGGATTTCTCTCTGATCATTGTCTCCTAAAACATTTTCCAAGGGCCATAGGCTTGCAGCATTAAGAAAAAAAGTGCTTGAGAAATCAAGATTTTTGCCTGCTGTTGCAGTCTCCCTTCCCAAACCCCCTCCTCATCTATCTTACCTTAGAGATGTCATATATTTTTCTGGCACCTCTAAGAGCACTATGGAAAGTTTTCTGCAACCCAAAATCATATTACCCATGTCACAAGTTTCATGAAATGCATCTGTTCTGATTTTACTATTTATAATACAGTATTTAGGAAGTGTTGCATCCAAGCCAGTGGATTTGACATTTGTTGCTTGTTGAATGTGGCACTTGATTGCTAATTTATAACCTTAAGGGGGATATTTATGAAGGTGAAAGAGAAAGAAAGCCAGAACATATTATTCTAAGCCTACCGTGAATGATAGTTGTTTATGACTGCAGAGGCATTAACTTCCTTTCTTTCCTTTAGCAGCTGGCGAGCTCTGTGTCAGGGCGAGGGGGTACAGAGAGTCAGGACAGGATGAGGGATAGTTCAGTTCCAAGCTCAGCTTCCTCGTCAGTGACAGATCTATACAACACTCCCCGCAGCAGTAGGTCAGACCTCTTCCTCCCAGGTACATCTGGAGACTTCAGCCTGAGTGCCTGCTTATCAGCCTGCACCCTACTTTATGAGGTATCTCAAAGGAGAAAGCACTCAAGGATGTCTGAGTGAGAATGACTTGAGTTTTATCAGCATTAAGGCATTATTCTTCTCTTTAAAAAAATCCTTTCTCTGAATTGGATGTGTTTCAAATAACAAGGGATTTTGTTACATGTTGTTGAGCTGCTAGTAAAGATATTTGTCTCTCATTGTCTAAGTACAGTTGAAAGCTTGCAGACCCGAAGCAGTGGGAGACAGACTATAATTTTTCATAGCAGTTTATGGTTTTAATTTGTTATGTATTTGATTTATGTATTTTAAACATTTTTCTACTTCTATGTAATGATTTAAACACAACATTGCATATCTATTTTTTTCTTAACAAATGTCAATACTTAAAATCAAAGCAATTAACATTAACACAACAGGATTATCTGACTATACTGAAGCTAAGAAAATTGCAAGACTGGTTTGGCATCCATTGTTTGGGGGGAGGGATTGCATAGATGAAGTCCTGGCATGAAGAAGGCTGTCATTTTGGAAATAAATCATCACCAATCTTCCACTAGAATAGGGATAAGAGGTGTAGAGACTGTGTATGGCTCTTGCATTATTTTTGTTTGTTTTTAGTGGCCTCCAGAAATCACATAGTTGGAATTTGGCAGCAAATTATTAAGTAACAAAGCACAGTATTCTAATCCCTGGAAACAAAACAATGTGTGCAAAAAATATAGTTCACCAGAACCCTTTATGCAATTCTCAGGGACCCCACAGAGTAGGTGAAGTCGAAAATCTAGGCCTTTTTAGATTTTTTTTTGGAGGAGTTGAGTGGCTTTTAAGGACTGAAATGATTGCCTTAAGCTATTTCAAATCTTCAAGCCCCCAATAACTCTTTCCAAAATTGACTTGTGGCCCTTACCCTTCTAGGTTTTGGAGTACATGACCAATATACCATGCTAAGTTTAGTACAGTCCTTGAGCTGACAGAAGGAGAGCTCCTGGTAATGGCAATTGGATGAGCATTCAATTGCATGGTATCATCCTGACACTGCTCTGTCCATTATGACATTCAGACACCCCAAAATTAAAATAGTACTTCACCATAAAAAGCATGTTCACAAAAGTCAGGGGCACCCAAGAACTGAAAGTCTAAATGATAAAGAGGATTCATATATAAACAATCTGCCCTTTGTATGATTATTCTACGTTCAGATTCCTATACCACTTTTATCCATGAAGGACTCAAATGTTATATTATGTCTTCTTTTTCTAGAAAGTCTATACTGTGAAAGAGCACATTTTTCTAGAAATGTCTTGTTTCTGTAATAGAGCACATTTAATATGCAAAGAATGCAGATTCTCAAGTTGAAAAGCCTTGGGCAATAGGAATGGCTTTGACTGAGACTTTGGAGAGTTCCTGCTAACCAGACAAGACCTGGTATGGAACCTGTGGCATTTCATATGTTGTTAGGCTAGCTACTTCAGTCCTAGCCTTCCTAACTAGTGGGTATTTCTGATGGCAAGTGTGGTCCAGTGGCATTTGCAGAATCTCAGGCTGCCAATCTGCACTCCATTAAGATAGATTTACCAATGATCTGGCATTGATACATTATCTTAAAATGTTCATATCAATCTGGTAGCTCTAATGCCTGCAAATGGAGAAAATTTGTAAAGCCCAGTTTATCACTGTTTCCTTATCCAGGCCCACTTGGGGGATAGGGTTAATGGAAGAAATAATAAGGGTCTCAGCATAGGTGAATGCTATAAACTTAGGGAAAGTTCAGGCAGGTCACTCATAATCACAGAAGGCTGTAACCTTTGAGAATTTGAACATTCTGTTGTCCAGCCTTTTAAAGTACCCTTTGAAATGATAGGGTTCAGGGAAAAAGAAAGAAATCTGTCACATGTAGCATTATTTATTTATTTAATTTGTATAGCTACCAATCTCACCTAAGTGACTCTGGGTGGCTCATAACATCATCTTGTCACACAAGTACATAATTAGGATCTTATGGCAGATTATAAAATTTTATCTAGATCAAAGATTTTCAATCTTTCTTGTGATGCTTATGTCATATCAAAACAATTTCCTTGGAACTTATGTGTATCTCAGAGGATGCAAACATAAGTACAGAATACATGTTGCATGCCATAAATGTAGTAAAAACCCTCAAGACAGCAAGACTATATTACGCAAACAAAATAGTAGAGGTAAGCATCCTTCATATTCTCCTTAAAATGCCAGGCTTTTAAGCTCCTTTTTGTTGATTTAAAATAAAAAAGGATTTGGGAACAGAGGAACCCTGTTATGGTTTCATTGCATATATTTTGTACAATGTGGCATTTGCCCCTTGGTTCATTGTGGGCTTTGGGTTGATGCATAGGGTTTCACTGTGCTGTTAAAAATCAAGAGTGCAACCTATGACATCATATTCAATCCTCTCTTTCATACCACAGAGGAAGATTGGTAGTAGGCAGGCTGTCATGCTGTAAAACTAATTTTCTTTCATTTCTCATTGATAAACGTCTGATAAACTTCCAAGGAAGCCTTTGCCTTCATGTCCTCCTTATGGACTTTCTAGAGGAACTTAACTGGCCAGGATATAGAATAAAAATAGGCCTTTGGTGTGACCTAATGAGATTCTTGATACTGATGTGCTTTAGATCAAAATTTCACCAAATAAGTGGAAAAGATGACATCTGTAGTGGATCAGACCTGGCTTTAGAGCTAACAGTGTATGGTTCATATTTAGTTCTCTTCTATTTGTTCTAAATAGTTTTACTTTTCTTTGCATTTATAGCCATGCTTTTGATGTATATTTGCTTGCTTGATTTATCCATATTGTATAAGTTTGTAAATTTGCATGTATGGAATTGTAAATCTGCATTTGCTCATGCCATGTAAAATTGCTGCTCTTCATTTTAACTGTTGAGAAAATTGCTGAGCAGAAAATTCATGATGAGGGCACTCCTCCCCTCCCCCCAAAGTCTGAAAGCCCAGGCAGCTCCCCAAATTGCCAGCTCATAAATCCAGCCCTGATCTTGGATACTGAACTACTGCAGCAAAAGAAAATAATTTCGGGCTATTATTCCATGTTTCAGCCATGGTAGTAATATGGAGATACAGCACTGTATACAGTATACGTGCACTTGGATTTGGCTGAAAATTTTCCACAGAGATTTAAGTTGATATTCTTGTTAACAATTATTTCTATTTGTTATGAATGGAAATCAAAAGCATACCTAGAATTTCCTATGATTTATATGAAACAGTATAAACTTGGGATAATAAGCTGACAAGCAAGAGAAGTACCCCATTTTAGTTCTGCTAAATTCTGCTAATTTCTTTTTTCTTTCCCAATATAACATTGTTCCATTTGTTCTACCTGAGAACAAACTTTGTAGAAACTGATACATAGCTGGTTCATACTAAAAGGATTAAAAAATGTTTTTGACTGCCTTTTTATGTTCAGAAAATGGTCAATCACCTCTATTATTGAGAGCAAAGAAATCTATTGAGTGAATTAGTGGTGCAAAGTGAGAGTAGTACTTTTGGCAGATCTGGAAAACAATTTTATGGGAGTGAAAATTCTAGCTATAGATGCATTGCTTAGATGTCAAGCCCCATCATACTTGCTTGCTAATACATGGGAAACTTTCTCTTGGGGCTGGGAGGGAGAATCCTCATTTCTGTTTCACTCACACTCTTTGCTGTTGCAGGGTGCGGTAGAGCCCATGCAGATTGATGTAGATCCCCAAGAAGATCAACAAAATGCACCTGATATCAACTATGTGGTGGAGAACCCAACTCTGGTATGTGCTTGAGGGCAAAAATGACAAAACCAGGCTGCTTGGAATTGTCTTCTAAAACCTAGGTTCTCCATTAGTCCTTAATTTAAGCAAATGCTGCCTGTTTATTGTTTTACTTGTAACCTTTGCTTATATACTTTTATCTGTGTATTTTACTTTATTTTTCTGATTTCTATGTCATCTGGGCTTTCAGAATGTTTGACAAGAACTGAGACAATGCAGTAAGGGATGTGGGGATCTAGGATATTGAGGAAAATGGATTTATATTGTCAGTTAATATGGGGGGGGAATTTGAATCACAACTGCCAGAAGCTCTTTCATGCTATGAAACAGAAACAGCCCACCATTTTCCTTTTCTTATATAGATGAAGTCTTCTTGGAGTAAAGCTTAACAGTTGGTGACCTTATGAAGATGCCTGTGTTGCTTTAGTGGCAACATTATGGAAGTGGGTTGTCATTGCCCTCTTCCAGAATGTTTTTTCAACTTCCTAGTCTTACAAGCATCAGCTAGGTCTGATCTTGCTTAGCTTTTTGAGACCGGAAGGTGCTATCCCCTTGTAGGGCTTTCTCATAGAGCTATCAGTTTGAGTTGTAAGTTTAAAACAAATGTTATATTTTGGTAGTGTTTTTGATTATAAACCTTACAACAGCCCTATGAAATAGGTCAGTATTATCCCCATATTAGGAATAATATTACCAAGGTCTACATGAACTTCATGTCTAGTGCCCCAAGGGAGCAAGACCATTACTGTGATAACTGTTCCTACTAGTTCTTCCTTCTCTGCACTGCAATCTTGGAGAGTATAATCATCATATGAGCCAGTACAGCGTATAGGTTAAGATCTTTGGCTAGGAGTGGAAAAACCCTGGCTCAAGTCTACTCACCCTCAGCCACAGACGCTCACTGAGCGGCTTTGGGTCAGTCATTTTATCTCAGCCCAAAATAGCTCACAAAGTTGTTGTGGGAGTAAAACAGGTATTGTACTATACTTAACTATAAACACATACTTATTAATACTGTCATGATTTTCCCTCTGTGATCATCCTCCTTCCAGACATGAGTTCTCAATACAGAAGTGTTTGCCTGTGTAGTAATTGCTACTGAGAGAGAACCCACTTCCTCAGTGAGCCCAGTTGTGACTTTTTTCTTTTTGGAGATTAAAAACAGTAGTGTGATGTTATCCACTGCATTTATTCTACAGAGAATTTTGATGCATAGATACCTGTCACACAGATTAGATAATATAGCAAAAATGAAATGAATGTACAATTTGGGCAATTGTCATTAAAAAACAAAAACGTCAAGGAATTATTCCTGTATGCTTCAGGATCTAGAGCTAGCAATCATCTGGGAACTCTATGGTTCTTCTATAGTTATTGGACTAAAAATGCAAGGAGCTTGATAGTTGGGCTAGTACGCACTACCATCCATGATCTCTTCATTCCGGCTGGGACATTCAGGATCTGGAGCAGTATGCAGCAAGTTACAGCGGCCTGATGCGGATTGAGCGACTGCAGTTCATCGCTGACCATTGCCCACAGCTGCGAGTGGAAGCCCTGAAGATGGCGCTCTCATTTGTCCAAAGAACATTCAATGTGGATGTTTATGAGGAGATTCACCGGAAGTTGACTGAAGCTACCAGGTACTAAGATGAAGAAGGGTCTTGAGAGGCTTCTTGGGGATGCATGGCACTGAAAAGGAAAGCTCTGGAATAGATAGAGGCACATGCATGCGTGCATGCATACATAGTCAATGACCAGCATATAGCAAGATAAACTACAGTTAAAGATAATAAAGCATTCATACAAATATAGATAACTTGAATTAAGTATTGCATAGTATTATGAACATTACATCTATAAAATCTATAAAACCAATCTAAGTAACTAAACCTATTAAGTTGTGAATGTTTTCTTAAAAAAAGTTATTATCCTGGCGCATTAAAACTAACATTTATACAAATGTGCAACAAACTTATATTATGTAAATTATCATTTCTAATCATACAAAACCTAACAGATATACAGTCAGGTCCAGAAATATTGGGACATCGACACAATTCTAACATCTTTGGCTCTATACACCACCACAATGGATTTGGAATGAAACAACACAATGCGCTTTAACTGCAGTCTGTCAGCTTTAATTTGAGGGTATGTACATCCAACTCAGGTGAACGGTGTTTGTTGACTTTGACACACATACACCTACCTCCTGGAGAGTGTTCTTGATCTGGCCAACTGTTGTGAAGGCACCGTTCACCTGAGTTGGATGTACATACCCTCAAATTAAAGTTGTTGACTTTGACACACATACACCTACCTCCTGGAGAGTGTTCTTGATCTGGCCAACTGTTGTGAAGGCACCGTTCACCTGAGTTGGATGTACATACCCTCAAATTAAAGTTGTTGACTTTGACACACATACACCTACCTCCTGGAGAGTGTTCTTGATCTGGCCAACTGTTGTGAAGGCACCGTTCACCTGAGTTGGATGTACATACCCTCAAATTAAAGTTGTTGACTTTGACACACATACACCTACCTCCTGGAGAGTGTTCTTGATCTGGCCAACTGTTGTGAAGGCACCGTTCACCTGAGTTGGATGTACATACCCTCAAATTAAAGTTGTTGACTTTGACACACATACACCTACCTCCTGGAGAGTGTTCTTGATCTGGCCAACTGTTGTGAAGGCACCGTTCACCTGAGTTGGATGTACATACCCTCAAATTAAAGTTGTTGACTTTGACACACATACACCTACCTCCTGGAGAGTGTTCTTGATCTGGCCAACTGTTGTGAAGGCACCGTTCACCTGAGTTGGATGTACATACCCTCAAATTAAAGCTGACAGACTGCAGTTAAAGCGCATTGTGTTGTTTCATTCCAAATCCATTGTGGTGGTGTATAGAGCCAAAGATGTTAGAATTGTGTCGATGTCCCAATATTTCTGGACCTGACTGTAAAGTACTGTGGCACAGATTCCAACAGTGCTCCCTGAAATATGTACTTATCCCCTTTCGATATCTGTAGGGAATGCAGCTGAATTTAGAGGCATTCAGGGAGAATATATCATGTCTGTCAGAAAATGGAAACCAAAGAGAAAATACGCCTGGGTGCTCTGGAGAATTGGCTAATAGTATGCATGAATATCCTTATAAAAGGGGCAGTTCAGAAGACAATGAGCAGCCTTCTCACCATTACCCATTCTACAGGGGCAAAACTGTTCATTGTAAGGAATTTTCTTACACTTCCCTTCCAAGTCAACAGCTGGTAACAGTGAGATTGTGCTACCGTCCTAGCTTGTCTATATTTAGATATTGCAGTCTGTCTAAGGTATTTGGCTGGGCTGAAATTGAAGGTTGAGCACCTAAGCAGAAACCTACTGGCACAGAAGATTGAGTTTCCTGGCTTTCTATATCTATTATTCTCTGCTTAACTTGACTGTGGCACAGTCAGGGTCTAAGGCTAATGTACCATCCTGCAAGTAACCAGAGGAATTTTCAAATCAGGCAGAATGGAGCTTTATTGTTTGGTTAACTTCTTCTGATACATTTTTTAGCAATCTGATGGGGCAGAAGATTGTTTTTAGTGAATATTTTTAGAGGGTTCTCTCTGCACCATACAGAAGTTAATGCTTGGATTTTAGCAATTAATAGTTTAACTGCTGCTGGGATATAAAATGCTCCCTGATAAAAGGCCAGAGTAACCAAAGTTGATTTCTGTGCATTCTGTAGCAAGTACTCTAGTTGTGCATTCCAGCTTCCTATTACATGGAATACTGTTCCCAAATATTTGAATAATTGTACCTGTAGTAGGCCATTCCTACTTAGTTTCCACCTGTGGACTTTAAGGTGTTTTGGAAGGACCATGACACTTACTTCATTGCAATTAATTTCTAAAAGTTCCTCCATTGCAAAATTCTGTAAGGGACCACAAGGCCATTCTCAGGTGAGCCTGGGTCAGTGCCAAGTGGACTACATTGTCCACATAAAGAAGAGTTGAAACATGTTTGTTGCCAGCTTTGGGAGATGATGGATCAAATCATATGAAACCAGGGAATTTATTGAACCATGTTGAGTAGTATTGGAGCCAGAATACAGCTCTGCCTAACCCATCCAGATTTCCTTATTACAATAGTTCTGGATAGAACATGGACTTTTATTCTAGAATTTTCATTAGGTTTTTGCTATAAAAAGTATCAACAGAATGAAGGTAAGAATTCCTTCATTCTTTGCCATAATCTATGTCTAGAAATTGAATCAAAGGCAGCCTTAAAATCTTCAAAGGCAACTTATGGCATTGATCTGGGACTAGCTGTATATTTTTCAATCAAAAACTGTAGTATCAGGGCATAGTCTTTATGGGAGTGATCTTCCTTGTAACCCGTCTGGTTGTTTGGTGATAGATTCTGCCTCAGCCCAATCTAATAGCTTTTATCTTAAATAGATAGCATATATTTTCCTAATAATATTCAGTAAGCTAAAAGATTGTTAATTGGGAGGAACATTCCTTTTACTTTTTTTTTTTTTAAATTAGGACTACTATTGCCAAACCCGATTCCCATGGAAATCTTGCAGTACCGTCTGTATATGTAAAAAGGAGAAACCTCTGAGAGAGACCCCATAATAGCCAGATGACCGTATTCAGGAGGTTATCTTTCTTGTTCAACATTTGCATATGGTTTCAGTTTGGGCTCTTCCTTTACATCTTAAGAGCCATCCATGGACCCTGTAGAAAGAGAGCCCTTTCATTTGCGTTCTGGTATTCTTATGAACTGAGCATTAGAACTGAGTGTAGCTGACAATGTTTGCTGTTAAAAAAAACCTATCTAGCAGGGAGGGAGAGCATAGTTATGCTACTGAAGTCAGCTTTTGATCTTCTTGGCTCTTTGTCTACTTTCTTGGTTAAATCAAGAAGGTTGATAGTGTTGCTGTTGCTCACTCAAATAGTGAAACAAATGGGTCCAACTTGTTTTCCATCTATAGTAGCTTTCCTATCTTGCCAGCAGTTTTAACACCCATCAATCCATTCAGCACAGCCTGTGGCAAGGGATTGTAGGAGTTGTAGATTAGAAGATCCAGAGGGCTGCTAGCACCCCCAGTGTCATTAAATTGTCATTTTATAAATGGCTGTGTGAATTTCCACTTTTCTTTAGACAGAACACAATATATTAATAGAACTGCTTTTCTGAATTTAGAGTTTCACTGACCAAGATATCAATATCTTGTAAAGCCAATTAGATTATCTTCCTTATGCATTACTATAATCCTTCTCTGTTCTTGCAGATTGTTGCAGTATAAAGGTTGTTATATCTGTAGGTAACAGATAATTCTGTGTTCCTGTACACTTTGTGTATCTGTTGTTTCCTTTTCAGAGAGCTGCAGAACACACCTGATGCTGTCCCAGATGGTGGGATAGAGCCCCCTCCTCTAGACACAGCGTGGGTCGAGGCTACCCGCAAAAAAGCTCTTCTCAAGCTGGAAAAGTTAGACACAGATCTTAAGAACTACAAAGGAAATTCAATCAAGGAAAGCATCAGGTGATACCAAGGAGATTAATTTATGAAAAAAGAAAAAGAAATCAGAGTCAGCAATTGCGAATTTGTAAAACTAATTTCAGAATAATGTTTTAAAATGCCTCCTGGAATCATTTTGAGGGGTTGTGTATACTTCAAATGACATTTTCTTGAATTTATTATTTACAGTTTTCTGATACACGTTGCCATGAAATAAAACCATGAAGGAATCTTTGTGTAGAAATATGGTACCCATTTCCTTTTCACACAAAAAGGGTTTTCCATGGTCTGTGCTCACAGAATAATTTCCCAAGTATTTCTTGAGAATGGAAATTAAATGTCTGAACTGCTTTTTGCTCATCCCCAGGAATTAAATAAGTAGTGTGCTTACCATAATGCCCCTCTATGAGCCCATAGAAGTTAGTGTGAAATACACTATTTTTGTTCTAAACATGCAATGTGTGAGACACAGCTTATGCCCCAATATACCTTTTTTTTCCTTTCTGTGACCCACTTTTTTCCTAATGCTGCCACCGCTCAGTCCCACACTCAGATGTTGCAACACGTGTGCCTTGTACTCCTTGCATAGTATATATTTGTTGACTTTGATAATGTGCATAGCAGCTGCATTCCTCAGTTATGGTGGGAATTATTCATGGTAGCTTATGAATCGTTTTGCAAGGAGGTAAATGCTCACAAGAGGCAATGGAGGTATTTAGGAATGAAGCACAGTAGGCTTTGTAAGAGAAGAATACTGAAAAAGCATAATAAATAACTATACTTGATCCTCATCTTTAGTTTTCTACAGAAATGTTGGTGCTGAGTATCTGCAAGCAATAAACAAGAAATTCTTCATGTGTTACCCAGTATTTAGACTTTTTGGACAAGGACAAACAATGCTTTTCTTTAGGATTAGGCATTTCTGATGCTCCCTTGCTTATTCATTTATAGCTGACATGTGCCTTCTTTTTAGGAGAGGCCATGATGACTTGGGAGATCACTACCTTGACTGTGGAGACCTCAGCAATGCCCTTAAATGTTATTCACGAGCCCGTGATTACTGCACCAGTGCAAAACATGTTATTAACATGTGCCTCAATGTTATCAAGGTAAACAGCAATTTATCTCAGCAGTCCTTTATTTGGGGAGGGGACACTAGTAGAATTTAATCTCTGTTCAAGATAGGCTTTTTTTCCAACTCATAACTAACATATAAACCTCCCTTTTCTGTCTTTGCACTCCAAATTTCCAGTTTTCCCATCAGTACCTTTCATGAGGTCCCCATGAGTCAGTAATTGTGGGCTACTACAACTCCTCAAAAAAAGTCTCTTTTTCACAACTACCTCTTTTACAGAGGCACAGAATGGAACATAGCAGGTAATATATTACTCAGCTACGTCTGGACTTGTTTCTTTGCAGGTCAGTGTTTATCTTCAAAACTGGTCCCATGTCCTGAGCTATGTGAGCAAAGCAGAATCCACGCCAGAGATTTCAGAGGTAGTAAGCTTTTTCCAACTTGTCTATTGCAAGAGATTCCAATGATTGCCTCATCACCTTCTGACTTTCCCAAGCAAGTGGGAATTTGAAACTAGTTCACCCTGATCTAGTCATATGCTTAAGTGCTAGGTCATGCTACTTCCTCATGTGTCTTCAGGTGCCCTAGGTTAATATCCCGAGACAATATAGTCCTGTCTAATGTCTGACCCCACCTCTGTGATGCTGTGTACTATTTTACCTTGTAGAAGGATTGTTAGAGCTATCTAATTAATAATGGACATGGAAGTAGACATGGGGTTCAGATTCCCTTATGAAAAGAAGCAGAGACCCGGTTTCCTCATTGGCCTACATGGTAATGTATTGTGCACATGATCCCTGTTTTGAGCTTTGAATGAATCCATCTACTTTTCAGATGAGCTCTTGGGTCATGTGAAATTTCTCTGAAAAGAAATCAGAGAGCAGAACTGCTTCCTCAGACAAGCTTAATGGAAGGAATTAGCTAAAATAGTGGTGCTCATTTGGTGATTCTCTCCCTCTTCCCTATCTAGCAAAGAGGAGAACGGGACAGCCAGACACAGGCCATCCTTACCAAATTGAAATGTGCTGCAGGTGAGAAAGTGATTTGTTTGTTTCATGGATACTGTCCTTAGTGTTGTGTCCAAGTAGTGCAATATACTAGCAGAATGTTCCATCTTGCCTTTCCAATTTCTACCCCAATATCATACTGCTCAAAGCCCCCCAAGTCAGTTTCTATTCCTAGAACTATTATTAATCTCAGAAGCTCTCCCTTAGGTTTCTGTGTGACCCCTAGCCTTCTGTTTCTTCCCATTCATCTGCACAAGAGTAACTTAGTGTCATTCTTAGGCTTGGCTGAACTAGCTGCCCGGAAATACAAGCAGGCAGCAAAGTGCTTCCTGTTGGCCTCATTTGATCACTGTGACTTCCCTGAGGTGAGGATGTGGGAAAGATGTGAGCTGGCAAAATAATGGGGTTAATATGGGGGAAATGGCTCATTTGAGACCACCTGTGACCTTTTCCAAGCTAAATCTGGCTTGGAGATCAAGGGATATTTTTTCCCTTGTTTTTTCTGGGAGGGCCACCTCTTCCTTGGGTTTATGAATCTGGAGAAAGGATTCAGGCAACCTGGGTCTCCTTATTTATATTCTTTAGAGGCTCTCCCTTCTCTCTTTTTTTCCAGCTGCTCTCTCCTAGCAATGTAGCTGTATATGGTGGCCTGTGCGCACTAGCAACCTTTGACCGACAAGAATTGCAACGTAATGTCATCTCCAGCAGGTGAATGATTTGTGGGACCTTCAGTGATGAAATAAAAAAACTAAATTGTGATGGATCTGTTAGAGGATTTATTTATGGGAGCAGACAGATGGCAGGAATGAACAAGAGTAGGGTCTCTCATCTTATATCCACTATATTCAGTTTTAATTTCCTGTGACTGCTTTTCCTTTATTTTTAAGAAAGGGAGGATGAAGAACTGTAGTCTTACTCCCAACTAAGTCTAGATTTTAGACTCTCATGTCTTTCCACTGCATTGCTCTTTGGCTCTTGAGACACTTAGTGGTCACTCGCACCTTTGTAGAAATGGTCACCCAATCAAAATGACTCTCTCATTGAATAGAGTAGTCCTCTTTGAAAGAGACATAGAAGATGACTAGATTTTGGGTTGTGTGACCCCTTCTGTATCTGCAGCTCCTTCAAACTGTTCTTAGAGCTGGAACCACAGGTCCGTGACATCATCTTCAAGTTCTATGAATCCAAATATGCTTCATGTCTCAAGTTGCTGGATGAAATGAAGGTATGTCCTAGAGTTTTGGTTTTTCCCAGTATGTTTTGGAAAGGAGTTGCAACAGCCTTTGAACTGTGAGAACCCTTTGCTAATTGGGTGAAGCTGCTCTTGTCTCAGAAGGATAAGAGGCCTGGCTTAAGAAGGGGCGAGTGAAAGACTTTAGAGGTAATACCAGGTCATAGTCTGGGAGTGTGTGAGTATCTGCCCTTCTTGCATGTTAGCCTTAATCAATCCCATCCTGTTTCAATGTGTTCAGGTAAGGCGTTATTGCAAGCTACTAGCATACTAAGCTCAGTCTGAAAAATAGAAAAGTATTTTATAGCTACGTGTGTACTTTTATAAATATACAGAGACCTATTAAATATCTCAAAAAATAGAAAGGAAGGAAAACAAATAAATGTTGCTAGAGGAAGAGGCTCTGCCTATGTAATAGTTGTTAGGCTGAAATTGTACTATCTTGAGAGCTAGTTCAGATACATGCGTAAGATTTAAAGGTGTTATCACCTTTAAAGCCCTACATGGCATGGGACCAGGTTACCTAAGGGACCGCCTCTTCCCCATGACTTCATCCCGTCCCACCCGATCACACAGGGAGGGCATGCTTCAGACCCCCTCGGTAAAAGAGCTCCGATTAGCGGGGTCCAGAAGGCGGGCCTTCTCAGCTGTAGCCCCCGCCCTTTAGAATATTTTGTCCCCGGAGGTGAGATTGGCCCCTTCACTCCTGGCCTTCTGGAGAGATCTGAAGACCTGGCTCTGCCACTTGGCCTGGGGTGGGGAGGGAAGTCACCAAGTGTGGGGATGGCTGGCCCTTAGAGGCCTGTCGTCTGCAGCTCTGGAACCGTCAGCCTGTTGGATTTTTTCTTGTTTGGTAATGTTTTGTATAGTTTTTATGTTTTATGTATTTATTGTTTTAATGGATTTTGTGAGCAGCCCAGAGTCCTCCGTTAGGGGGAGATGGGTGGAGATAAATTTAATAAATGACTATTTTTCAAAAATTTATCTTGACAGACCTTTTTTTTTCTTTTGAGACTGCCCTGTTCAGAAGAAGCCAGTGAAACAGATAATTAAAGTTGTGGATATTCTCTTCCTCTGTTGCTATTATAGTTAGTTCCAGCTCTCCCAGGTTAATAGCAAATGTAGTACTAATACTAGAAGATTAATGAGTGTTATGGCAACTCCAAGGGAAATGTGGCAATGCCTTGGTAAATGATTGTTTTATAGAGCAAAGGTTTGGAGAGTTTTATGTCCATTCTTCCTATTCTGGACAGGATAATCTGCTATTGGATATGTACCTGGCACCTCACGTGAGAACACTTTACACTCAGATCCGAAATCGGGCCCTCATCCAGGTAATTGTCTTTCTCTGTGGCTTCACTGTGGCTTCCTTTCATTCCTTTCCTCACTGGATGCAGTGCAGAGACACTCTTGAGTATTCCTCTGTCTGTTTCTCTCCTGACTTTTCCCTTTTTTCCAGTATTTCAGCCCCTATGTGTCAGCAGACATGCGCAAGATGGCCACTGCCTTCAACACCACTGTGGCAGCTCTGGAGGATGAACTCACTCAGCTGATCCTAGAGGGGCTGATAAATGCCAGAATAGACTCCCACAGCAAGGTGAGTCCCAGTCATACACATGCTCATGAGTCTTTCTGGCCCCTTCTGAAAGCCAATGGCTAACTAGGAAGAATGGATCGAATTGTTTCCACGTCCTTTTGCTGCAGTACCAGCAGCCCGGAGAAAAGCAAGGCCTATATTATGTCCCCACTGAGAAGAATTTAAATTTAATGCATGTATGGATGAGAACATCAGTAATTATGCCATAGTCTAGAATATTTTAGCAAACATAAGAATCTGAACACACAAGGTATAGCTCCTGGTTACAGGAAACCCTGCTTGAGTTTAATTAATTATTTAAAGAAAAAATCCTGTGTTTCTACTTAAAAAGAACTCAGAGTGGCTTTTTTGGTTTCTAAATTTTCAGAAGACACTTCTCACTATTTCATTTCCCTCCAGAAATACTGGAGGTGCTACTGTATTTTGTTTCTCAGAGATCCTGTGGCACTCATTTGCTGCTCCTCTTCATCCCTGAACAGTCTCTGTATCTCTCCAGCTACTTAATCTTGTTCTGTAGATTTTGTATGCCAGAGACGTTGACCAGCGCAGTACTACCTTTGAAAAGTCCCTGCTCATGGGAAAGGAGTTTCAGCGTCGCGCCAAAGCTATGATTCTACGAGCTGCTGTCCTGCGTAATCAGATCCATGTGAAGGTGAGCAAAAGTGCCCTGCATTTGCCAGGGGCTTGCATCTTCATGGGCTGGCATCAATTGGCGGTTGGTGTAAATATAAATGAGAGCATTTGGGCTGAGCTAATAAGTCCTGCGAGGGCAAGTAGTTCTGTGCATCTCCTGAATGACTTTAGCTGATGCTTAAATATTCAAAGGCCACAAGCAGATTAGGTAAGACTTTCACCTTTCTTAGAAGTACCTTATTACTTTAGTACAGAAGTAATTGTGAATGTAAGAAGAGCCTTGCTGGGTTAAGCCTAAGGACTTTCTAGTCAAATTTTCTGGGTTCTGTAATGGCCAATCACATCTATCCAAGAAAATTACTTGTGGACCTGAGAGCAATAGCTCTTTTCCACTAGCTTCCCAGAAACTGGGATGTAAGGAACTTTGCTTCTGACTGTAGAGTGAGTATATAGCCCGCAGGACTAATAGCTGTTGTTACAGCACCTTCCTCCCTGAATTCCTCTACTTCCACTTTAAAACTATCTTAAGTTTGAGTCCATTCTACATCTGGTAGCAATGAATGTCATAGTTTCATTATGTATTATGCACAGACGTTCTTGCAACAGGAAATGACAAAATGAACATAATCCAAAGGTGGATTTTTCTGGGCAGATCCATGGGAAAGATGCAGACTGGTGTATGAAGAGAAGAGGGCTATGTGAGGCATTTGAAAGAAGCAGCTGGGAACTGCTTTTGAAGTAGTTGTGTGACCCTGGCAAAAGACATAACTGCTTGAACTATTTAGGGGGAAAGGGCTTTGTTATGAAACACTTCTTTCAAAACGCTTTGCCCAGCCTTAGAAGAGACCTTGATGTTGTGCACATCCTTGGGTCCCTAAGTCCTCAGGTTTCCCTTAATTGTGTGATTCTTTGTGAGACAAACCAAAAGGCGGGATTCTTTTACTAATGTCACTTTTTTTCTGAAGAAGAAAAGGGTGTCTCCAAATGCTATCTAATCTTTCAGTCCCTCATTATTGCATTGGTCTGGTTTTGGTTCCCTGTGGGGTTTCCTCCACTTGCCTGCTGCTGTGGCAACTTGTGGGTTAGGAGAAGCTCTTTTTCTAGCTGATTACTTACTGGGCCTTGGGTCTCTCTTTTGGCTTGTTACAGTCTCCTCCACGAGAAGGAAGCCAAGGTGAACTCACTCCAGCAAACAGCCAGTCCCGGATGAGCACCAACATGTGAAGCTCTGAGCCAGCAAAAGACTGTCCCTTCCTCCCCGCCCCACACACCCAGGGCCATGTGTATCCAGTATCCACAACATCAGCTGTCCCATGGTGCCTTTTCAGACTCTGGCTGGGGGGGCGGGGAGGCAGGACTGTTGAAGGCAAGCTTTGAGAGTCTGAGAACTCCTTTTAGAACAGACACGTTCGTCAGATGCAGCCCTTTGAGAATATGCAAGCCTGCAAGTGCTGGCTTCATCTTGTCTTTCCCCGGGGTTTCTCACAAACAGAAGCTGATCCTGGTTTCATTCAGCTGCCAAAAGAGCTTTGTTGTTTCTGTTTAGTAAAAGATAAATAGCATGAATCTGAAGGACATGTGTGTTCGTGCAGAACTTCTCATTTGTACGAATGCATCATCTCAGACCCTGAGAGTCTCTCTTGGACAGCATCTACAGGAAAATAGGCATCCTTTCCATTTATTCTCTTCAGGGCTTGTGTTTGCATTTACCTGGAATCAGCTCCATTTTAATCTGTTCTTCCTATTTTTTGTTTTTTAAGTGTGTGCTCTGGCTTGCTTTCACATCCCCTGACCTCAGCTGAGCAGTTGGTTCCTTTGATAATTCTCCTCCAAATTTATTATTGTGATATAAAAGGGGCACTGATAGGGTGGGGGGGGCACACGCAACTGTCTCCCTCTGCATCTGGGCAGGACCTGCCTGGCTGCCTGCACTATTACTCTCCTTTTTTAATTTATCCTATGACAAAAGGGGGGTGTGGTCACAGGCCCGACTCAGATTGTGTTGCGTTAACAAGCCTAGGTTAAGTGTTTGAATATTCCACAGTTACTTCCATTTGGGGAGGTTCATGGGGGTTCATCCCAAGGAAGAAGTTACAAATTTGGACCTAGCTCTTGGCCAATTCATCTACTTTTCCCAGAATCTGTTAATGTTGTTTAGTTTAAAACCACATTCTCTCCTATGCATTAAAAACATAATTGCAATGATAACTGCAGATCTGAGCATTAATTCTTGCTCTCCTCCACAAACTTCTCAACTCAATAGGACAGGTATGTGAAGGGCGCATTTCTAAAATTAAGGATTGACTGAATTACAATCCTAGATGATATTGAACATGTCTTCTTGAGGAGCCTTTAGCTATGTGATCATAGGAAAATACTATTTTTATAAAAGTAGTATGGAAAGAAATCAGTGGGACAGATGACCCATATTTAATCCAGATGGTTTAATGGGAGCTTTCACGAGTATTACTATAAGATATTTAAAATATTTCAATGCTAAAATGCGTAAGGCTTCCTTTCTTTAAGGACGCCTTATGCATTTAGTGTTGAAATATTTTAAATTTTCTCCATAGACATCAGGGCAATGTACATATATCATGACTTAAAGGCCATTTGAAAATAGTAGGCAAAACTAATCATGAAGGTAGGATAATGTAATAAATAAAGTACACAATTAGTTGAACCGCAGTGTATACTAGATTAGTAGGCATGCTTAAGCTAAAATGCCTAAGCCAAATAATTTTAATCCAGTATTGAAAAAAATAATGACTCTGCAGTATATAAACCTTGACCTTTCTTAATCTGTTGAGTCAATATTACATTATAGGTCAAGTTGGGGGATGGTGCTTTGCTTTCTTAAATAAAATGCTGAGATTTTTGGAATCCAAGCAATTCAAGATTTAAAAAAGGAGGTTTCTTATTCCTGTTGCTCACAAGCAGAGTTAAAAATGATGCTGTAATCCTTTCCTGTTACTATTCCATAGCGGTTGGTCTTCTGCAATTCTTGAGTGGCGGCTTTTTTGGAATAGCTGCGTGGCTTAACTGTTAGTAGAGTTATTGAGCTGCTACTCATTTTGTTAGAAGATACTTGACTTTCCTGAATTCCTTTCCATATAGTTCTCTATGTTCCATACATTTCTCTGGTCCCTTCCTAACAAAATAGTTGGTTTTCGAGGCAGTGGGTAAGGTACAGTCCGGGTTAAAATGAAATCTAGTCTGAAGGTACCTAAGTGTGGGGCTTGATGGGAAACTGCATAAGAACCCTACGTGCAATATATACCTACCATTTTCAAGGCCTGATGGAATGCCAAGGCTAGTTATACTGAGCAAACCTACCTGTTGTTCTAACAGGTTTTTCAGCATGTTATGTCACTGGTATAAAAAGAGAGTTTGTGTCATTTCTAGGTATAGGGGTATTGCTCTTAGTACAACCCTGCATCTGGATTCTCTCCCTAAGAAGCTTATGTGCCATGAGAAGCAAACTATAGTACTGAGGATATTACCCAGCCCTGTTATGTGGCCCCATTTTAAAGCTTATTTCCTGGCCCAATGGGAGGATAGGCTGTGACTTATCCATAAGGATCTCATGAATCATAACAGGATATCTAATAACTCTCTTAAGTCTCTCCAAACCCATAGCCATTCTATTGACAGTCATAACTTTCATCCAGTAACGATAGTGGTTTTTCTGACATCTAATTTTATCAGACTATAAGGTTTTAGAAACATTTGAAGGCATGTTGTGCCAAAGATGTGGGAATCATCAAAACTCCAACACAGTCCTAAGTGTCTTTGCAGCTTTCATTCAATTAAAGCCTTCAAGATATTAATAAATAGAGCTGCTTTTATTACAAGCTTTTTTGGGCTCTGAAAGAAGGCAAGTAAGGCGCAACTTTAAAAATCAAATATACTGGACAAAGCATAAGTGTAGGATCTGCAGTAAATTGGACAAAAATAACTAGCATGCTGGGCAAAATGTTATTCAGATAGGCTGTATTTACTTTATAACTTCAATTTATAAGGCTGCCCCAACTCAAAACTGATTTTAGGCAGCATACAATTACAACCTGAAAACAAACAAAAGGAAGATCACACAGCAGGAGACATGCATATCACAGCCAAAGCAAACAATACAGATCAAATGGATCCACCACTGATCTATCCCATAGCTTGGAGGAGTGTCTAAAGGCTTGTAGGGGGCAGGGCAGATCCGAATCTTCTTAATTTTGACCTATGCCTGTTGGGGGTCTGTAAACACATCTGTAGCTTATTCCTGTGAGCTCCAGTGGCTTTTTTCCTTAAGAAGGTCTCTTTCACTTTCCTGTTATTCAGACCAAATGCATAGAGGGAGAGAGGAACTACAGCCACAGATTTTATCCCTAACTTCTAAAATCCAATACTGTTGAGAGTTGGAGCCCTCAAGATATCTCTAATTGTACCCACAATTGTTGCATTATGCTGAATGCATACATTTTTGGGGCACTCTCACCTCACACAATTAACATAGCCACTAGACTATAGCGGCTGCTGTTGCTGAAAAAGCAGGACGAATCTCAGGCTTACCACAATGGTATCCAACTGGAGAGCCGTAAACACGTCATGAAGCTATTTTCCCTTTTCTTAGCTGCCTTGGTTGATTTGGTCCAGATTATCCAGAGGTTTGGCTGGAGAGAGTGCTGAGGACAATGTGGCCTGGTCCCAGTTCTGCCACTGTATGTGACAATTCGCTGTGAGCAAAGTAACAGCCACTATGGTGTTGGAGTGTCAGTATTACATTGGGGCTAGGATTCAGGTTCAAATCCCCACCTAGCTGTCCTGGTGAAAGAGCCAGCCTTTGGGATTTGTTCCCCCTGTAGGAAGCCTTGGAATTTTCTGCCCAAAGGCTTTCAACCCAACTTTGCCATAACACATAGAAAAGGGCTCTGCCTCAGTGGGGGGATATTTAAGATAGTGGGAACCCATCATGAGCCAGGTTGAGCAAGCTAAGATATAAATTGCCTTCCATCACATAGCGAGACCAATTTGGCCTCTAGAAAAGCAGGGCTTTATTCTCCATTTGGATGAGGGCAGGTACCAGCAGGTTAGCTGCTTGGTTCTCCACCCAGCTTTGTCTGCAGGTCCTTATCTTTCCTATCTTCTCAATATGTACAAATTAAAGCGTGACTTTAGGCCTTGCTGTGAATCCATAAGAGAGAAGTATGCTTCCTCACTTGTGTTTACATTTTCCTCTCTGCATGAGAGAAACTTGCTCTGCAAAATGGAATCCTGGCTGTTTACTGTAACTAAGCTTGCCAATCTTTTCTTATATGAAAGGAGGGGGTATTTAAAGACGAGAGCCTCTGATAAGCTCCAGCCCTGCCTCCTGATCTCCACATGGAACTCGGAGTACAGTAGAAGATGGGTTAGCCTGCTAACGTGTGAAAGAGCAGCCGCACCTCCGCAAGTGTGTATTTGTGCATGAGTAAGAGAGTGAGCGTCCACCCCCAGGAACCCTTGACCTGCAGCCAAGAGTCAGGAGAAGCAAAACCTGTAGCAGGTGAGGAGGAATGGCAAAGAGAAAGTATAGGCTGGAATGAATGGAAGTCGAGGTGTGTCTGACAGGTGGCTTATCTGGTCTCACACAATAAGCTCCTAGTAATTAAAATAGTCTCTCACGCCCTTTTGAAAGTATATCATGTCATTACTCTGATGACAGCTTAAGACTATCATTTGCAAAATTGCTCTGAAGATTGGACATGCTACAGGGACTTTCTGGTAAATATTGAGGAATTAAAAACATGCATGATTCTTAATGTTGCCCCATATTGTCAAAGCCATGGGGTTTCATCATTCTTTCAGTTTATTGACGCTGAAAGTTGCCAGCCAGAAATGGTCGATGCTTCAGTGGTTC